TGACCAAGGAGGATAGAAGGAGAATTGATGCCTTTGAGCTGTGGTGCTGGAGAAGAGTATTGAGAATACCATGGACTGCTAGGAAAACAAACAGATTTGCCTTGTGGAGGGTTAAACCGGGTGGCTCCTTGGAGGCAAGGATTCTGAGGCTCCGTCTACCAGCTTCTCATTGACCTGTCCAAAATATAGATTGAAAATGTATGAGAAGAAAGGATATATCTCTGACACAATTCTTTCTTGATTCTGAACTATGCAATGTTCCCTTGCTCTGTTCAGACAATAGCTTCTTGGTCTAAGTATAGGTTTCTCAGAGCACAATTAAGTGTTCTGGGATTCCCATTCCTCTCAATGTTAGCCATAATTTGTTGCAATCCACAGTCAAATGTGTCTGCATAGTTGACACAGCAAAGACAGAGTTTCTTCTGGAATTCTCTGCTTTCAGCCCAAATCCATCTGATATCAGCAATGACCATCCTCTTACAAATAAATGCAGCTTGTATTTCTGGAAGTTCTCTGTCATGTACTGTTCAGCCATTTTTTTATAATCTTCAACAATATTTTGCTTGCATGTAATATTAATGTTGTTGTTTAACAATTTCTACATTTTGTTGGATTACCTTTTTTGGGAATGAGAATAAATATGGAACTTTCCAGTCAGCTGGCCAGATGGCAGTACTCCAGATTTCTTGGCACAACCAGGCAAGCACATCTAGAACTACACTGTTTGCTGCTGGATGTAAAATGACCTTTTATGCCTGTCTTGGTCTAAAGGTTCTAAAGTATGTATGCATGGCTGTCAGAAAACCATGGAGCCATGTTTTTACACCCCCTGCCCTCCAGGCCACGGAGCTGTTTGGGTTTTGTCTTGATTTGGAAAGACTGGCCCCGTCCCAACCCCCACTCCTTTCTCCTGCCTGGCCTCTTTCACAGGCAGTCAAAGCCAGGTTCCTGTGGACTTGCCTGCCACCACCATGTCTGCCTGTCATAGAGTTCACCTGCTCCCCTCTGGGTGTTAGCGCTGCTGTGGAGCTCAGCACAGTGAGGGCGGGGTGTCTCCCCTCTGGGTGTCCCTCCCACACACTGTAGGATCAAGCAGCATTCAGCTAATGGCCTTTGGGCTCTGAGTCCCAGCCCGCTGAACTTATAACGGATCAGGATAGTGCATGGAAGGTTGGTTACCACTACCAAAGGGTAATTATAATGTATCAAATAGCATTTAACTACTTTGAAGGGAGTCTGAGCCCCCTGAATGCATAACAGCAACAAGGAGGATAGTTACAATGCATTGAAGGACAGTTATAATGTATCAAAAGATATCCTAAGATATCAAATAGCACTTGACTACTTGCCTTTTTGAGGGGAGGCTGAGCCTGTTGACTGTGTCACAGCAACACTGAGGACAGTTACAATGTATCAAAGGATAGATACAGTGTATCAAACAGCACTGAGAGTGTCTTGGTGCCTCATCAATGCTTCAGATCTGTTTCCTAAACAAACACAGGCCAGTTTCTCTTTGCTGCCCGTCCACATCCCCCTGGTCATCAAGAAAGCGTTTCTCAGGAGGGGCCATCATGGCTTGTACAGGGACAACGTGGATTTGGACTGGATTGTGGGTGAGTGTCCTGTCCAACTGGCTCCTCCTTCACTCTAAAACCTGCTACACATAGCACAGTGACACACCAGTCCTCTCACCACCATGTTGCATGGAGAGAGAAAAAGGATAAAAGCCTTCTTTTGTCTTTCCTTCTTGTCAGAGGAGCCTCGGTGGTTAGGTGGTTAAGTGCATGGCTTGGAGTTTGAGTCCACCAGCCGCTCTGAGGGAGAAAGCTGAGGCCATCTGCTTCTGTAAAGATCCAGAACCTCAGAAACCCTGTGGGCAGTTCCGCTCCGTGCTACAGGGTTGCTGGGAGTCAGATACAAATAATAATAGAGTCCAAACCGACCCATAGCTAAGCCCCCTCAACCTGGGGAGTCAGATACAAATGAATAGCAGCTGGTTACAATGTATCTCATGCCTGTGACACTCTAAGAGAGCTCTGCCTTCTCTCCACACTATACACACAGATGCTACTATAGAGACTTTAAGGAGCCTTGCTGACAAAGGGTGACACACTCAGCTGCTGACCTCAAGGTCAGTGGTTTGAACTCACCAGCTGCTCCGAGGGAGAAAGCTGAGGGCATCTGCTTCTGTAAATATTCACAGCCTCGGAAACCCTGTGGGGCAGTTCTGCTCTGTCCTACAGGGTCACTGAGAGTTGGTATTGACCTGGTGGGAAGGAGTTTTATTTTCCTGACCATTCTTTCCACCCTTCTTCCTACCTCCAGGTGGAAGGCTCTGGAAGGTGCATTACATGACTCCCCAGTTCCTCCCTGAAGGTGCAGGAGACTGCTATGGCCGGGGTGTGTGTCCCTGCTCTGGACCAAGTGTGGCTCTCCACAGCCCACTGTTGCTCTCCAACTTGTCTCAGGACCCCTCAGAGGTGCATCCCCTGACCCTCAGCTTGGAACCCTTGCATGAAATGGTGCTCACTAGGGTGGACAAGGTGGTGGAAGCCCATCTGCAGTGAGCCTGGTGCCCCTGTAGTTCTCAGCTGGCAACATCATCTAGGAGCCATGGCTTCAGCTCTGCTGCAGGACCTTCCCCTTCCACTCGTGCAGAGAGGATGGAGACAAGGATGCGGGTGGCAAATCAACTACTTGATGGCACATATTTGTATCATAAAGGAGAGTTTAGATAGACATGGTGGGTGAGCTGAGCTATGAGAAAAATAATAGAGGTTTCTGCAAATCAGTTTTTGGGGTTTTTTACTTAGGCTAGATGTTCTTATAATGTTGTTATGTGCAGTCACCTGTAATGCATAGCAACTCTAAGTACAGCAGCTCTGAAACCTGCCCTGTCCTGAGCCACTCTGACTCTGACACACCCACCCCCACAGCCCTAGTTACTGTTATCTTATTATTATTTTGTGTGTCTGTGTACCGTCAAATCAGATCTGACTGGTACAGGAGGAGATTGTCCCTCCTTTCCCGGCAGAGCATCTGGTGGATTCGAACCATGTACCTCTGGTATTGCAGTGCAGC